AATACATTCAGCACCCACTGGCACACGTACGCACACACAACAACCCACACTTTACACACACTTTGTCTGAGCTTGTTTTAGTGTTCTGGCAATTTTACTTATTTAAAAGCTTCTGCGCTGACTACATTTTTTATTTCCCGCCTTCCATTTCCCATAAATTCCCATTAACTAGTTTATGGATCCAGTATCTCACTGTTTTATGATCAACCATGTGCTGATCTTATTACATTTCTCATCAGGATGGATTCTTTTCTGCAGTGTCACTGTACTGAAACCAGGTTGTGTGTGTGTGTGTGCACGGACTTTATTGAGTGTAAATTTCAGTCTACACCACTCATCAATTAAAAGACTGTTAGACTATATCCTTAAAATATGTTACCAGTTTCTTATAGGGGAAGGCTGTCTAAAGAATTTGTACGGTGTAGATCACATATAAAGAAATATTGAATTTAAGTTTCAGTTCCCAGATTTAAAGACTTCTCTGACAGCAGAGTTTATCCAGCCATCAAACTTCATAATGTATTTTTAAGTTGAGGTTGAAGCATAAATTAAAGTTAATAAATAAGTTATATTTCAATAAAACATGCAATAACATTTAAGAATGTTACTAATTACTATTACTGTAACAAATTAACAGCAAATTAGCTGTAACATTACTCAGGTGAACTTTGGAGAAAGTGGTAACAGATTTTACACTCAGCCTTCTAACATTCATGAACGGGAAGAGAAAACACGATACATGTGACATGAACGTTTCTGTGAAACTAATCAGAGTGTGAAAATACTACAAATGTCATTAACCAACACATACACTGAGCTCAAATCCTCACAACTGAATCTCCACCCCCTCCCCCTCACTTCTGACCCTTAACCCCACCTCCCTGCATGTGGGTGCAGCATGAAGCGAGCCAGCTCTATGGGGATACTTAACGTGGCGGACAAGGCTGCGAATGACCACTACCAAGTAAGCAACAGGACACGAGTGCAAAAGTATCTGCAGAGGGTTTTTAGTCCTGCTGCAAGCCAGGGGCAAAACCGCAATCAAAGGACTGCAGCTGGATCCCTAAACAAATTCTTAGAAATGATAAGAAATATCTCAAGGAGGCTTTTTCTTTAGTAAACAGTTAATCTGGGTTCGGTTAATCTGCTTTCGGTCTTCCAGGGAGTAATTTTAATACATATTTGACTTTTTAAAATCTCATCAATCTTCCCTTATTTGGAAATTGTGCATTACTATTTCAAGACAAAATAAGCCCACTGATGACAGTAAATGAACAAATATCCAAAGATGTGACCACAGATTTATGTTATTATGTTGTAGGAAAAACCAGTCTCTTAAATGATCAGAACCATTGGCAGATACTTTTTGACTCAAGTCTTTTATTTCATATTCTGATTTGTCATGTCTTTATAAACTGTTATTATCAAACCCTCCCCAAGGCTCTTATCATTCACTGTAAATAGTGATAAATCTGACATGGCTAACATCATTGTCTGTTTCACTAACAGTGTTTGATGTTCAATCAAATTTTTAGTAAGTTTGTTATTTTTTTTACACATTGTTTTTACAACTTCAATTCTTTATTTTAGCAGTGAAAAAGTGGTACATTGTATCCATAATTTCCTTTAGACTGCAATTGTAAGAAGGAATGTGTTTTTAATTACTTAGTATCATAAGAAAGTACAGCCTTGCCCTATTATAATTTCAGATAATAACTCTTGTTGTTTTATGATCTGTTGAAAGCTTTATGTATTTCTGAAAGTTTTTGATTATATCAAAAAAAAACCAAAATGTACAGGACCCAATTTTTTGCTCTAACTATAATGGAAAACATTCACTTTCCTGTGTTCTCCATCTGATTTCTGCTTGTTTAATTTCCTTCAGGAACGAAATAATTGTCTGAGAAAAAGCCGTGACCTGAGTGCCAGCCACACTAACCTGGCGCGTTGAAGGTTTTTCACTCTGAGGAGGTGAAAGGTCACAGAGAACTGAACTGAACTTCTGACCATCCTCGATGTAAATAGCTGTTTGTGAAAGCTTGACATCTCCCGTATTCTACTTCAGCATCATCCCATCATGTGCTAACTATACAGATTTTAGTCTTTCATTGCACTCTTGAAGGTTTATGATCTCAGATGGTAATTTGTGGTATGTAATTATATCAGTACATATCAGGAGGGGGTGGGCTGCTGTATGTTTCCTTGTTCCAGTCTAATTCTATGTGCATGTACTGTATGTAAGTGTGTGCTGTTGTGAGTGGCTGCCCTCTCAGATTACAGTTTAATTTTTTTTGTTTTTTCCTATACTAGTGGTGGTAAAAGCAGGTGCAGAGTGGAGTTTTAATTTTAAAATCACTTCTAATGTGAGGCTGAAAACTGCAGTGGATGAAGCCAGTAGGCAGTCTTAAATGACAGAGAGGAGCTCAGTCATTGTTTAGCTATACCCTAACAATAACTATAACAGTGATTTAAATATCGCTACTGCTAAATTTGCTGCTATGGTAGGAGTAAACAGCAACCTCTGGACCTGGAAAGGGTCAGTGAGGGACCAAAACCCCACAATTGATCATCCAAATCAAGTAAATCTCCATAACTGCCCATTTTATGAAAAGCCCAGCTTCACAGCAGAGACAAGCGTGTTTTGGTCTTTATAGATCATCTCTATCTGCATGCAGCTTCAAAGAGTGCATGTTTTCTATAAATATAAAAGTTACCTGTTCACGCTTTCTAAGGTTTAAACCTATGCATAGCAAAAAAACCCAAAAAGATTTAAAAGTGGATACAATTGAATCTTATTTAAAGTTGTTTTGTTTGAGCCTGTTTTTGCTAGCATCTCTTTTGAAGTGACCACTAGCCAGCTCTCTAGCTTTATCTGATCTTTTTCCAGGTGTGCCGTTTTTTATCCAAGTATGTTTTGAAAAAGGAAAATAGAAGATTGTGAAGGACAGAATGCTGAACCCGAGGCTTCACAGCCATAGTCAGCAAACCAGTCGTTTAAATCACTATCGCTGTGTTCATCTTTTAGATAAAGCTGCACTGAATTTCACTTTAATTTGCTAAAAGCTTTCAGATGCTTCATTAATTTGCTGCTCTGCTGAAACATGACTAAAGAAACCATGTTTGTCTTCATTGGTACCGATCATTAAAACAACAAAGACCTACGATTTAGCTCATGAATCCCAGTTTTTGGCCAGTGTTGATGATTTGACACCATTTTCTTTATATTTGGTTGTGTGCTGAATTCTAACTCTGCCAATAAGAACAGTTCTACTTCCTAAGACTCTTCACTCTTTGTTCTGCAGATTTCCAAATGAAGTTGTGCACAGGGTGTAGATTAGTTGAGAAAATCTCCTGATGTGTATGAATCTCAGCAGCTGTAGTTCACAAAAACATGGAAACCTGTCCAGGGATCTTTCAGCTGCCTCTTCCTAAAAATGATCCGTCCTGTGTTGATTGATTGAATATTTAGCTTTTGATGTGTGAAGTTCCATGTTTACATGATTTGGGGTTTGTAAATTATGTTTTTATTTGTTTCTGTCTTTGCGCTGTTTCTTTTTATAGTAGTAGTAGTTTTATAGTAATAAGCCTTGAGAGCAGGATCCGTGAATTGACTAGCACACGAAGGCTGGCCCGCACACTCTCAGGACTGAGGCTGTACTTCCACACTGACTACAAACTTAATGTCACTCCAGACTTTTTAAGTAATGGCGAGAGAAATGTTTGCAGTACTTTCAATGACAAGACAAAACTTTGCCATGTGAGTGAAGTTGAACCAAAAAGTGGAAAAGTTTTTAACGATTTTTAATGTACATTTTTTTGAAGTGATTTAAATTTCCAGTTAACTGTAGAGATATTCAACATAATCCTGGTATGAATACTAAAGGACTTATCATTAAAAAAACATTTAAACAATTTCTGTTTTTAAATGTACGAGTTGATTTGTGATTGTTCTAAGAGTTCATCTCGAGATTAAACTTTTCCTTTTACTGCCCTTTTGATAACTTTATGTTAAATGAAGGTAACTATGCGTACATGCTCACTTCTTTAAAAGGAAGCTACATAATATTTAGCATATTTAATGTCCTTTACTGGTGGTAAGCTTGAACTGAAAGAACATACAACAGGTTAAATGATGATGAAGTGCCTTGTTTAAGAAATCCCAGAGATGGGATATTTCGTGTGGAGAGTTTCTTCTGTTTGAGCTGGGCTGTGTATTTACATTTCTTTTCATTTCAGACACACATGAATGCACATGATGTCCATTTATGGAGAAGTACGCTGCTACAAAATATATTTTCTATATAGATTGAAGTTATAGAAATAACGAAAATCAAAAATTATTAGAGTGAATGCACATGCACTTGTAGTCTGCAGCTGAGTCCTTTTGTTTATACTGCTTTAGGCATATAGATACATTATAGATGTATATTTTCACAGGAACACAGAAGCCTGTTCTGAAATGTTAGAATTTTGTCTAAATGCACCTAAACAGCCTTACCAACTGCACGATCTTTGTGTGCATGTCTTTGAATTTAAAGTCTTTAAATTAGATTCGAGCAAAGATTATACAGAGTAGATTAGAAGATTAGAAATTTGGTGAGAGATCCTGAGCCAGCTTTTAACATTAACATTTAAGATTAAATTAAACGCAATGAACTTCACATTGGACAAATTCAGTACAATGTGATCTAGAAGAAGGCGTTACAGTAACATATATACAAAGATGCGCACACAAAGGATTGATGAGAAAAGCTCAAACAGATGAAACAGCACAAAAAAATAGAATAAAGCCTCCATATCAGCCTAGGAATGACCACAGTGGTCTGTTTAATAAATGCACTAATGATAGAGAAGTCTCCACAGATCAACCATAATCAGGTTTAACCGTCCATCTCCAAACAACCCTAGCACATTTGTAAATCTTTGGCATGAACATCTAGTTGAGAAGGATTTGCACTGGAAGCATCAGACTGACGTAAAGTAATAATGATGATCTCCCACCTTAAGCTGCATTGATTATTGTACTGATGTGTGACTCATGCATTTGCTGCATTGTACGTTGTCTCTGTTGTGTTTCCTGAATCTTACTTTTTTTTTTTTTTTGGCAGGGTTGTGCAATATGGTTCTGTTTTCATTTCTCTAATTTGTTGGGGGGGAAGCCCTCTTTACATCTCACAGATCAGACCTTTAACTTCAATAAAAATCGACACCTGACGAATTCATTCACATGAAGGTGTCTCAAACCATTATACTGTATTTGCCTTTTTTTTAAATGATTTGTTCCAATTTCCCAATTAATCTTCAGTTGTTTTGATGAAATATGCAACACAGATACAGATACAGATACAAATTGAATGGAGTGTACACAGATACAATGCAAAGATGTTGAATACAGAGGTTCAAGAATAACTTGAACTAAATACAATAATTGTGAAAATCTCAGAATGTGGAGTTATTGAAATTATTTGACTTATTTTAATATTTTAACATTTTAAATTCAGCAATTTAAAAATAAATGCGACCTGATTTTTTATTATACTTTACTGTTTTAATTGAGCGTAGCCAAAGATCAACCCACTGGAATTTGTTGTGCAATCAAGTCACTTTCGTTAAAAGTCGGGCATTAAGCTTTGTGCAAGATGTGGTTTTATTTTCAAAATTACTTTAAATTCAAGCAACTTAAAATTTTATATCATCATTTGATCATTTCTTTGAGTTCATATTAAAATGTCAGTATAGGAAACTGAAACCTTATTTGGTAACATACTGTTATAATAGTGGATGCTAATATTAAACATCAAGCAAAAGGTTCATATAATGAGGCCAGCCCCCCCCCTCTTCGCTTGGTGTAGTATAAGAGCGATATCTCGCTGTGAGCACAGGAGCCCCACCCACCTGCTGTTCAAACCTTCTATTTGCAAGGGGCAGCCAATCAGTAGAAGAGTCATGGCGGCTTGTTTTAGGTAGATGACTTTGCCCAGAGTGAAGTAAATGAAAACTGTGATCAAGAACAGGGAGTTTTGGGGAGAAAAAGGACAACAGCTAGAGAAAGGACTGCTGTGAAAACACGTGTAAGGAATAATATATTTTAAGACTACTTAAACATAAACTGAGGGAGGAAAGTGTACACATCGCTTGTACATTGACACAGCGTGAGCTAAACAATGTCGGTGATATAATGGATGTAGCCCCATCTTCCTGCACCAGTCCACAACAAAGTGCATCCAAAGTGTAGTCCCTTTTCTAAATCACAAGACTTAAAAACACATGTTTTTAAATGGAGCATGAAATTATTTTAAGCACACATAATAGCTCTGTAAACTCTGCCCAGGTGGTTGTTTAATTTGAAAAACTACTGTGCTCTGTATCTTCTGTAAAAAGTAAGTAAATGCTCCTGGCGTAACCAAAGCTTACCTGTAGTCTTCTGCTAAGCTGGTAATCATCTTAATTACAGTATCGTTAGAGAGTAATAATGTGTAACAGAACAGAAACTGATGAGGGAACGGGTACTGTTGTTCAGCACAGCTCACCAAGTTATGCAGAAACCTGTTGGTGTTTTTTACTTTTTAGATCTGCCAGATCGTCTTTTATGTCCGCTCAAATTATGGTTGTCCAAGTAAACTATACATATCTATAATTTTTTTCACAAATCACTATCTACCTTTCATGTACTAAATTTAGTGCTAGTTTTAACAACCCCGCATGTTTACTTCTTCTTCCATGACCAGTTAATGTGTTTACTTTATTTTTAATGGGAGGGGCTGCAGAAACCAAAACACTCAACTTTGCCGAGAAACACGTGATCTCAAATCTGTGCTCTGATTCGCTAAACAGCCTGTCAATCATCCTGAAGGGTGTGCCCAGATGAGAGTTTTGTGGTCGAAGGAGACTCCGCTGAACACAGAGGAGAAATCCACGCTGAAGGAAAATGTCTTCAGTTCCTGACGGGAAGAAACTCATCCGTAGTCCCAGCGGCCTTCGCATGGTTCCGGAAAACGGCGCCTTTAGCAGTCCTTTCTCGCTGGACGAGCCGCAGTGGGTCCCGGACAAAGAGGTGAGACAAGCGTCGGATTTGGTTTGACAGCGACAAGCGATCACAGCCGTGCAAACACGAGAAGCTTAACTAAGGCTTTCCGGTTGTAGTTTCCAAAATAAAATCACCTCTCTGTTAAACTAGTGGGAATAAAATTGTAAAGTAAGAGTCTAGTGGTAGCTTTAGCTGTAGTTTTGATGATGTTGTATTTTATTCATTGTAGTACAACTTGAGAAAAAAAATTGTGCGCTGTTTTTTGTTTTTATAATCCTGACAGCAAAAGTCACTGGACTATTTTCAAAAGGAAAATACAAGGAAACATCCAAAATTAACAAATATTTACATTTTACATTAGAATACTGATTGTTTGGGCCTTTAAAATGTAAGACCCTGTTTCAACTTATCAGTGATAATCACATGGTGTTTAAATAGCTGCTTTTATTTGAACGATAGTTCATGGACCAGATATATTTGTTAAAGCGTGTGGGCGTAGTAAATATTTCTTTTTAATTTGTTTTTTTTATTGTTATTTCATACAGTGCTTTTCAGATTAATTTGCGTATTTATTCTGATTCAGTATAGATGGTCACTATATGATGAACCTATCCATCTTGAAAAATACAGTAACAGTATAATGACAGATTCAAAATAGAAATATTTAAAAATAATAAATGCACAGTTGATAATAATAATCTAAGATGCATCTATCCGATCCTTTAATGTTGTTAACTTTAATAAGTCAGTTTTTAGAACAGTAGGTCTAAATATGTCTATTAAATTATTAAAAACAACACATCTTCTTATCTGGTGCTGTAATATTTCTAAATGTTTCTTTGCTCAGCCATTGGTTAATTGTTTGGTTTAAAAGTCGTGACTGGGTGGGTTATACTATCACACCTAAAAACTACAGCTCGACTCTAAATTCAAACTCTAGTCTTTCGGTGTCCCTGTCGTGCGCTGTGATAGGCTTTTATTTTTTGTAGTGAAACGGCTCTACATCCGGCTTACATCCTGCTGACTACGGCGAGCTTGACGGCGCTCCGGACATCGCAGTTGGCCGCTGGACTGGGCGTTGCAGGCTGTCACGGCCAGCCTGGCAGCAAACGGCGCTTGTTAGCTAGTTAACAGCTACAACTAGCGGCAAACTTAATTGTAGCGTTTGTCCGCGTCAGACTGACGAGACCCCTCTGGTTGTGTGCGTGTTTGACTACCAGCACGTAGGTTAGCTAACCAGCAGTAGGAGCTAGCCCTTCGTACCTCGAAGGCTGTAGTTTTACTGCCAGTGCAGTGAAACTACAGCAGGACACACAAAGACTGTCTGTCTGTGAAAATGTAAACTCTGGCTGCACACAGGGACACTTTGACCAGACTGGCAAAGTTAATCATTTACTATTTGCTGACCTCAGCCTTCAGTTCTTTAATAAGAGGAGCAGGAATTAAAAACAAGCCTGGCACTAATTACAAACCCATATCTTCTGATCTGCCAGTGATAAATCACAAGTTTGATGGTTTAATGAACAG